CATACAAACAATAAAATAAACATATACATTAAAACCAAAAAAAATGAAAAATAACTCAACTAACATTAAAACCAATTATTAAAACCACACCATCCATACATAGACTTGGCATAAAATTGTCAGAGACAGTAAGAGTTCTGTGTTGTTGATGCACGTGGAACAAATCCAAATATCCCTAATTCATATTACAATTAAGCCTTGCTTTGTATGTTCTCTTTCTTCAAAGGAATAATGTTTCATGTAGTAGAAAAACAGTGTTCTAATAAGAACTAGAACTCTGCACCACTAATAGAGCCTCTGCAAGTACAGGAGAATCCTTGCTTCAGGGGTTGATCCTTCAGCTCGTGGGGAAGTGTAAATGTGGGTGATATTTAAAATGTATTATCTTCAGGAGGTAGGCATACTCCGTTAACAAAACCAATGTGTTTCTGGGAATTATTTTTCATTTGGTGGCATGGTGGCAGAAATAACATGGGCAGAATAAGAATAGGACATTTTAATATGTTTAAGGATATATTCAATCCACATATAAAATCAAAGAGTGAACCTTCAGTAAAAATGTTTGAACTTTCTAAAGACAACTTGAAAGTTTCTTCCCAAATGCATCCAGAATTTTTTTTTTTGTTTCTTTGCTTGTCACTTTTTTTGTAACTGCCATTTTGGTGACCCAACCTACAGGCTATCATATTTACCTACGTATTTAAACTTTGGCAATAATTGTTAAAATCCCAGCTAAAATATAAAATTCATTGGGTGATCTTTCAGTCTAGCCTGCCTCAGAAGGGTGTTGTGAAAGAGAAAGAGGGGTTTTAGTCCACTTTGAATTCATTGGGGAAAGGCAAGTTGCAAGTATAATGAATAAATATCACCAACAATATGGTTCAAAAGTCATGTTGAGCTTTTGAAACTGTTTATGGGGAGATACGTATGTTCATTGTTAAATTGGTCTGTCTGAGATGGCTGACCCTCCAGAGTGAGAAAGGTGAGGTAGAAATGTCGTAAATAAATAATAAATAATTTGGCAATGGAAACTAGGTGATCATGATCAATAACTTAATATGCTTGTTAAAGACATTTATATTGAACACAAATTATGCTGGATCAGATCAGGTCTCTGTTGTTAGCATCCTGTTTCTTACAAACATAAGCCAGATTTTCAGAGAATACCACTAGATCTGCGTTTCTCAACCTGAGGGTCAGGATTTCAGAGGGGTCGCCAAAGACCATAAGAAAACATATTTCTGATGGTCTTAGGAACCCCTTTGGCAGAGATGGCTGAAAATCTCTCCGCCTGTTTACTTTTTGGAAACAGACGGAGAATCTTCCCACCAAAAGCTGCCCTCTGCTCTGATTGACCATCCTCTTAGCCAAGGGGAGGGCGGTTTCTGAGGCTCCAAGTGGGGAGGGGAGAGCAGACATGCTTGGCATGTGGCAGGGTGGTGCGCATGTGCCGACGAGGGAGAATGTGTGAGGTTGGAGGGAGGCTCATGCCATCGAGTCCCTTCAAGGCATGGGGTTCTGTATGGGAAGTTTGTCCCAATTATATCACTGGTGGGGTTCAGAATGCTCTTTGATTGTAGGTGAACTATAAATCCCTGCAACCACAACTCCCAAATGTCAAGGTCTATTTCCCCCAAACTCCACCAGTGTTTACATTTGGGCATATTGAGTATCTGTGCCAAGTTTGGTCCAGATTCATCATTGTTTGAATCCACTGTGATCTCTGGGTGTAGGTGAACTACAACTCCAAAGGTCAATGCCCACCAAACCCTTCAAGTATTTTTCTGTGTTATGGGAAATCTGTGTACCGAGTTTGGTTCAGTTCCATCATTGGTGAAGTTCAGAATGCTCTTTGACTGTAGGTGAACTATAAATTCCACCAACTCCCAAATGACAAAATCAATCCCCCCCCCCACCAGTATTTAAATCTGGGCGTATTGGGTATTTGTGCCAAATTTGGTCCAGTGAATGAAAATACATCCTGCATATCAGATGTTTAAATTATGAATCATAAAAGTAGCAAAATTACAGTTCTGAAATAGCAATGAAAATAATATTATGGTTGGGGGTCACCACAATGTGAGGAACTGTATTGAGGGGTCATGACATTAGGAAGGTTGAGAAACACTGCACTACATAGAAAGGCAGCAGTTAATTCTGTGTGGTTTGACTACATGATTTACTGCAAGCAGTACCAGGAAACTCTAAAATTTTGGAAGTCTATATCTAACTTTCAGCATGACAGTCACTGGTGCAGGTATTGGATGTCACTCTTTACACACTGTAAACTGATTATTCTGTAAATTTTGCTATAATTCCCATGCCTAAACTACCCTGTTTTGTTATCTGTTTTATAATGTCAACATGAAATCTGAGTATGTATTACAGATAGTCAACAAAATATATAAGTAATGGTTTGGAGTCTATATCCTCTGTTCATTTTGGTGCCATTTATGAGAGGTAGGAACTAGTTCAAATGTTTGAGATGGTTCTGCAAATAATGTTTGAATGAACAAAATCTCAGCAGCTATCTGTAAATAAGTGTTAAAAAGAAACGGGCTGCTATCACTTATAATGTCAAAGGTTGGCTTCATGTGGATGCAGCAATGATTAATTTAAGATATTAAATCTATTCAGGCAAGAATGCATGTACGTATTGTAATGACTTCCTTTTCTTACAATTAAAGTAATTGGATTATATTTAATGAGCTATTTACATTTAATAATTAAGAAAAGACTTATCTTTCCAGTATTCCCTAAGTGCAACAAACGGAAGGGTGGGGGGATTCAGGACTGGGATATAATTAACAAGCCATAAGTTGAAACTGAAATAGCTGCTGAGCTGTTGTGAAGGAGGCTGCTTTATTTCACTACGGTAATTTAAAATTGCTGTGGAAATAAAAGTGCATAATTTAAAATCTAAATTAAGAGAAAGATAAATTATATTGTCCTGGAATTTGCCAGCAGACAAGACCAATAAGCTCTCTAAAGGGAAGTTACATTTGCTTTGCTCTATGTGAGGAGCTGATGTGATTTTTGTTATTGTATGCATGCTGATAATTTGTCTAACCTTGGCTCACGCTTTGTAAGTTGGAGAGCAACATATGCGGCACTGAGGTCATCCGCTAGTCTGATTCTGGTGACAGATTTGATATGATACAAAGCTGAAAACAGCAGCTCACAAGCATAAGATGATCCGAACAAAGTAAGGTTACATATCGACTCCGCATACATTTCAAGGTGTCTTTTTAGGCCAGGAGCCCTTGAAGTGTTTGCCGAGCTCCCTCCTTTGAAATAGCACCTCCCTGGGATTGACTACTGGCCTCCCACCCAGATCCCAACCAGAGCTGACCCTGCTTAGCTTCCCAGATCAGATGGGACATGGAGTCTTTAAGGTGGAAGGGCTACCTTTGCAGGGCTAGAGAAAGCCACGTTGGCCAGAAGGGGCCCAGTACTTGGAAAGCTTAGCTTGGGAGGGAAGGTGAGAAGAACAGTGCTTGTGGGGGGAGAGAGCACTGACTGGGTGGTGTGGCAAACCCTGTGGGGGAGGTGGCATGGCCAGGGGATCCCCTTGTTGGTCCTGGCCAAGGAAGAAGAAGTGTTGGGGGGATGAGCAAGCACTGAAGGGTGACCAGCACCATGGTGGGGCCAAACCTGGAGAAGGTGGCAGGAATGGGAGCTGGGCGTCCTCTGGACAGTCCCCCCCAGCTCCGCCTCTTCCTCCTCCTTGTCCAGGACCAGCTAGGGAAGCCCTCAGCCCTGATGCCTCCCCTTGGGGCCTGCCGAGCCACCCAGCACCCTTTCCCTCTGCAAACTCTGGGCTATCTCACCTTCTCTCCTAGCCAGGGCCATCTCCAACCTGCATCCTCACTTTTCTGGCCGCCTCCTCCTCCCATCCAGAGGGCAGGCTCCCTCTTGACCCTCCCCCACCCGTCTTGGCCCTCCTCTCTTATGTAGGAATTAGAGATTCTTCCTATACAGAGAGGGTTCTATGTACTCCCAGAGAGGGCCCTGCATACCCCCTGTGGCATGAGTGGCACAGGTTCACCACCACTGCTCTAGTTCATGTTTGTTTATTTATTTATTTATTTTTGCTTCATTTTTACCCGCCTTTTTCACCTGAGGGGACTCAAGGCAGCTTACAGCTCCAGGAAGAATTCAATGCCTGTATAAAACCCCAACAGTAAACAGTAAAAACGTATCTCACAGTTAAAACGATTAACAGTTAATCAATAAAACACATAAAACCGTATGCAAATTAAAAACATATAAGGGGCATAGTTCCATTCATCCGATAACCTTGCTCAAATCCTTAATCCTTAATGTATATTTTAAATTTAGAAAATGCAGAACACATTCTAGATGAAGAAAGCAATATAATAACTCCATGCAAATAAAAACAAACACTCTACAGCAGGGGTCCTCAAACTAAGGCCCGGGGGCCGAATACGGCCCTCCCAGGTCATTTACCCGGCCCTCGCTCGGGTCAACCTAAGTCTGAAACGACTTTCAAGCACACAACAACAATCCTATCTCTTCAGCCAAAAGCAGGCCCACACTTCCCATTGAAATACTAATAAATTTTTATATTTTAAAAAATTGTTCTTTATTTTAATTATTGTATTGTTTTTAAATGGTTTTTTACTACAAATAAGATATGTGCAGTGTACATAGGAATTCATTCATGTTTTATTCAAATTATAATCCGGCCCTCCAACAGTTTGAGGGACTGTGATCTGGTCCTCTGTTTAAATAGTTTGAGGACCCCTGCTCTACAGAATTGGGAAAAATCTGTTTGTAAAAAAATGCATGCCATGAGTATTAACCTACAAAGAGGTTAGTAGTAATAGGGAATATTGTTGGATCTGGACGAAAAAAAAGAACCAATTTATAGAAAGCTTATTTTTGTCATCACCCATAGACTGCTTATTTTAAATTCAATTTCAACTTTTTTACCACTTGCAAGTGACCATTTGCTTCTTTTAAAAATCTCTTTACAGCTGGTGCTGCAGTTCCGAAGCCATATGAGGGATGAAAGATGAGTCATTCTAGGTATAGCAGTTCTGTACAATAGCCTTCACCTACGGTGTGGAGATCACTTATACTGAAAGAGACTCCAGTATGGCTTTTTCTTTGGCTTTTGAAAACTGGTGATTTCATCATACATTCAAGTACAACTTGGAAGAAAATCCCTATTGAATCTACTCTCAGGTAATTGTTATAGGATTCCAACCATGTAATTTGCATCCTCTGCTTATATGTTTCTAATGTTGTAGAATAGGAGAATATATTTGACAGTCAGATACATGACTGAAGTGCTGTTCTTGACAATATTGCAGAATAATCTCTCACAGTTTGTGAGGCTAGATTGCAGAAAATGCCTTCAGTTTCCAGTAGAGCATCAACACTTCTGCATCAATATCTCTGGCTAACCCAAGATTGAATTCATTGTTTGATGTTGCACTAACATCTGGTAACAATAAAGCACAGATACAAAAACCTGTAATAATTTAGCAGTTTGTGCAGTGTCATACTTTTTTGTCCCTTTGGAATCTGCAGTATTATTGAGAAGTGGTTGGAACTTCATTGCTGACTTCTGCTCCCCTAGCTTGAGAAGTTTGTGTGGTTTTATTTTAGCACTAGTAGAACTTTATTTTGATTAGGCAATGATTTGTGAGGATATATTTGTAGCAATGTGAAATCTGTTGGAAAGCTCCCAAAAATGAGGAGTTTGTGAATTTTAGAGAGTGTTTTTTGATACAGAAGAAACTGAAGGCATATTCATCATTGCCGCTTCTTTCAAAATGACAGGTGGAAGGCCTTGATGCTATAAGTGTTCCATGTGTGCACCTCTCACCTTATTTATGTCTCAAGGAAAGTTGTTATTAGGGTAACTTACTTTCTTTGTGGCATTGGGAGGCATTACTTGAGCTCCAGAGCTTTGTGTGCTACATTTCTCAGCAGCCCTAGCCTGCATAGTTGATGGTGTGGCAGTTGTACCATCTCAGAGCATCACACAGTTCCCCTCTGAAGAAATAGGTGTATCTTAATATTTTAACACCAGAAGAACATGTTCTAGAATTGATTACAAAAATGTAAGAATGGAGGAACAAATATTCTCTGAAGCCAGCTTCACAATGTCTATATTCATGAGAAAATGAATGTACCGTGGTTCCTTTTAGACCAGCATGCTACTTTGACACAGTTGTTGATATTCATAAACAAATGTGACTTTTAATAATAATTAATAATAATTAAATGTCATTCTGTCAATATGGGATTCCTGTAAAAACTAAATTTTCAGTGATAGGACTTGTGTTTTGTAGCAAGTTAGTTACTTAGACATAGGGTACTAAGACATCAGTGCTCGACCGAGTTACACTACCCTGAAGACACAGGTCCACAGTCTGGGCATCCTTCTAGATTTATCGTTTTTACACTTGAAGCTCAGGTTTCGGTCATGGCTGGGAGGGCATTACACAATTAAAGCGTGTGCACCAGCTGCAACCGTACCTCGAAAAGCCTGACTAGGCCATGGTGGTCCATGCCTTAGTTACATCTAAAGTGGACAATTGTAATGCACTCTACGTTGGGGCTGCTTTTGAAGACGACCTGGAAATTGCAATTAGTGCAAAGGTCAGCTGCTTTAATAGGAGCTAGCTATAGGGAACATACTATGCTCCTATTAAAGCAGTTTCACTGGCTTCCAACAATTTCCTGGGCTCAATTCAAGGTGCAGGTTATTACCTACAAAGCCCTTTACACTTCGAGTCCATCTTATCTTCAAGACCGCATCTCTTTCTATGCACCGATGCAGGCTTTGAGATCAGCAGGAGGACCCTTCTCTTAGTCCTACCACCATATCAAGTGCAGTTGGTGGGAACAAGAGAGAAGGGCCTTCTCTGTAGTGGCTCTCCAACTCTGGAATACCTTCCCAAAAGAGATTAGATTAGCCCCTACACTTGAATCCTTCCGTTCTAGCCTAAAAACATGGATTTTTTAAGCAGGCCTTTGGCCTCGAGTAGGTTAAAATTGACCTATATTAGGTTGACAATATTAGGTTGGCACTTTAGTTGTATATTAATGGCAGCTAGTTTTGACCATTGATGGTAAATATTTTTAAATTGTGTATTTTATAATACTTTATGTATTGATAGTGGTTGTTTGTAAGTTTTATGTGATACTGTTTTATACTCATGTACTGTTGATGTTTGTACTGCACTTGCAGTGCCTTGTTAGCCGCCCCAAGTCCTTTTTTGGGAGATGGAGGCGAGATACAAATTATTACTATTACTAATCTAGTCTGGTTTTTCATGAAATTCATATTCTAAAAACAGAGATTTAAAACGGATGGCTTCATCCTATCAGTTTTTTCTTACATTTTTTTTTCTTGCATGCAGTACTAATTCGTATTCAGATTCCAGAGGCTCTGGCTACTTGAAAACTATGATCCATGGATATAACATGGATTAGGTGCTCATGAAGTATGTCAAAGTATAGGTTGTGGCACCATCTGACAACTGCTTCATAGTTTCCACTTGGGCACTGATGGCTGAGGCTCCTCCCTTGCGCAGGTCTCTAATTGCAGTGCCCAAATGTATGGCATGCTCTTTTTCTTTGAGGCCATGCCTGAGAATGTCGTTGTCATCTCTTAACAGAACTTCTTTCCTGAACTTCCTTTTTGAATTTTTTCATCAGTGCATTTTTTATTTTTATCCCAACTTCTCAGAATTGCACAAAGCTAGCCTCTTGCTGGCTGTTTCACAGAGGAACTGTTAACTGCTGAGAGGAGCTTCAAAACTTAAAAGGTTTTGTGTCCTAAGATGTTGGAAGGAACATTTGGTTTGTGTGGGCAGAATGAAATGAGATCTTTCAGTTCAGTGGCCTGGTGGGCTTTTTGAGTTTGATCTCTCTTCTTTTTCTGAACCTTCTGATGTGTATGAGGCAGGTTTAGGTATTCTTTGAAACTGACCCTGAGACCCTCCTGAGGTATCCTGGTGGCTCATTCTGTGTCACTTCAGGATATAAAAGGGGTTGGGTAAGTGTTATCATGGGAACTCTTCCCTTGAGTGTTTTGAAATTATTAGAGAACTCTTGAAAGCTTCTTCCAAAATGCATTCCAGGATAGTTGCTTCTCTCTTTTCAACAGCCTCGAGCTCTGTTTAGTGGCATTTTCCAATTTAGTGACAAAACTAATTGATCTATACTTTTTCAATATGTGAAGGTTGCTAGTGAGGCTGATTTCTTTTCTTCATTTTGCTTTTCACACATTCTTAGTACGTGATTCCGGAGGCACTTGCTGTTTACCTTGTCTCTTGTATGTAAACACACAACTAAAGTAGAATTGTGGAGTGTATTTAGGTCCCGGTCTGTCATTTGCGGGAGTCACAGTGGTCTGTGGAAGTCAGAGCCCTGGCCAGAAAAATACACTGCCTGGCCAGAAAAAGACACCGGTTAGATACATGCCCACAAACACTTTTCTCTTTCATGATCCCTGTGAAATGCACACAAATGGTAGTGACTGATGCGCATGCACAGCAATTCGGAATCTTCTAACAAGCTCTCTAGCTCCAGGTGGCTATGGCCCCGTCCATCTTCCCCAGAAGGTAAGGAGGGCCTGGGCGGGCTGTAAGCTTTGTTCCTTTTTTCCTACCTTGCAGCTGCAGCATTTAGGAACTTCCTCTCTATTCATTTACTCTTATATTTGACCTCCAATTGTTTGAATGAACTGCTGACCTGCCAAACTGCTGACCTGAAAATTGGCAGTTTGAAACTGTGAATTGGGGTCAGCTCCCACTGTTAGCCCTAGCTCCTGCCAACCTAACAGTTCAAAAACATGCAAATGTGAATAGATCAACAGGTACCGCTTCGGCAGGAAGGTAATAAAGGCACCCATGCAGCCATGCTGGTAATGTGACCAGGAGGTGTCTACAGACAACAGACTCCTTGGCTTGGAAATGGAAAAAGAGCATCTCCCCCTGGCCAGAGTTGAGCACAACCTCCAGAAGCTGGAGATGGAAGCCTTTACCTTTGTTATGTGTATTTGTGCCATTGTTATTTCACTGTATTAAAGGCATTGGATGTTTGCCTATCTGTATGTGTTGTAATCTGCTCTGAGTCCCCTCGGCGAGATAGAGGGAAATATAAATCAAGTGGTGGTGGTGTTGAATCTCATTCTTTCCCAGTTCAGGTTTCATTGGATTATTTACTTCAAACGTTCTTTTGCAACTCAGAACTGAAAGTCTGTCTTTCTCCAGCCCTCTTTCACCATTCTCTCAATGCCAATACCATCAAGATAGTCCATTGAAACAGAAGAAAATAAAAGCATGACTAGGTTCAGCTCCCATAAAAAGACTTTGCAAAAAAGGAGCTTCTCTGTGGGAGGCTTTGTTAACTATGATATGCCTGTACAAAAGTCTAAAAAGTAACATCATATAAAAGAACTGAAAGTTGTAATCTTGACGCATTCCTTTTCTCATAAATATCACTGCTGAAACATGCTTTTGACTTCCTCCAGAAGTTTCCTATGTGCAGCTTTTCTTACAGTTATGGTAGGAAAGGGTGGGGTCCTTCCTTCCTATTTTGCTGATTGTATTAAAATGGGGATGGCAGGAACTCAGCAGTATGTTATCAAAATATTGTTCATTCAAGGCAACTCTTTTCAATGAGTTTATCTGGTTTTTGATAGTGACAGAATAGGGACTTGTCTTGTTTATGGGTGTGCTTGCTTGCATACGTGGTGTTATTTTTAAATGCTTTTTAATAACTATAATGTGCCCCAAAGGCCTTCTGTGTTACTCATGTCTGCTGTAAACTGTGCTCCTTCATAACTATTTCTTGGTAACTAGATGGATCTTGAATATCGGTAAACCCTGCAGGTCAGTAATGTGATGTTTCCTTCAGTCAAATCTGTTACGTTCACATTGCGTACAAGAGGGATGCTTCAGCTTTCAACATGGCTGTTCGGAAATGCTAGAAATAGATAGCCAGCCATGTATATAAACTTCGTGGACTACGACTGAGCCATTTCTGCTTTCTGAAGCTTAAAATAGCTGCCACTGGGGATTACACCGATGTATAACTTGTGGTATAGCCTCTTGCTACAGTGGAGAAAGCCAGTTGTTGGCACAGGAGTTAAGATGCATGCCATCTTGTATTCTGTGACTACCAGTCATTTGTTATGAGGATGCCCACATGCAGTTGACTGAGAG